TCTCTCTCTCTCTCTCTCTCTCTCTCTCTCTCTCTCTCTCTCTCATTGAACCTGATGTTCACCCGTCTGGCTGGACTTCCTGGTCAGCAAGCCCCAAGGACCTGCCTGTCTCTGCCGTCCCAGTACTGAGATTACTGAGACCAGATACTGTGCCCAGCTTTTTATGTGGGTTCCAGCACTTCACAGACAGAGCTATGTTCCCATCCCAGACACTGGTGATTTCTCAAGTTATGTTCTCAGAATTGTAATGCTAACACTTCCAGTGAAGCAAGACCAAGAAGATCCATTCACACAGAATGATTAGTCTGTCTTGAGGCATCCTGGAAAAGTGCCACGAGGAAACTTACAGTCCCCCAGACACAGACACCCCCAAATGGTAGATGAGCTCTCACCTATCAGCCAAACACCTCATCTCACCTGCCAGTTTGCAACTTTTCTTTCAGTTGCATTTCACATTAGGGTGGAAGTGAGTACACGGAGAACGTGTATGTGCTGAGGTCACCGGCTTCTGCAGCCTGGTTGTGTTATTAGCACTCTTTTACCAAATGGGGTTCTGAGGAAGCGGAATCTGCTGATGGAGCAGTTAGCTCCCCTCAAGTACTTTCTGAGTGTTTAAGAAGAGTTGCCAGTCAAAGGTCCCGAGAAAACCTTGAGATGACCGTGCCACCTTCAAAGGCCATGGAGCCTGCAGAAAGGAAAACTCTAAGATAGCAAAATGCAAGTACAATATGAGGGTACAGTGTGAGCTCTTTGGGGATAGCTGAGGGGGACATGTGTGTATCTGTTCTCTTCCCACAGTATGTTCAGACGACATTTGGTGACAGTACCTGTTTTCTAGACCAATCAAACTGAGAAGTTGAAACTGAAAAGATGTAGTTTTATGATTTGAATAGTCACGCGTCTCTGGAAAAAATGTGGGTTGTCTGTCAAGCAGAACTCAGAAGGGAGTTCAGAGACGGTGCTCTGGGTGGGTGTCTCTTCCAGATTCAGGTAAACTCAGCCCCACTGTTTTCTAGGCATCAGCTGCCTGCAATGTGTGGACTGCATTGCAGTGTGTACAGCCTGACTACCTAATGCATTCTTATTCTAGATCTGGGGAGACAAATCAGTCAGTAAAACATTTTCTTACAAGAATGAAGACCTAGGGATGGAGAGATGGCTCAGCGGTTAAGGACACTGGTTGTTCTTGCAGAAGACCCGGGTTCAAATCCCAGCACCCACATGACAGCTAACAACTGTCCGTAACTCCAGTTCCAGGGGATCCAACAGTCTCTTCTGTCCTCCGCAGGCATTGCATGACATGGGTGTACTTACCTACATGCAGGCAATTACATGCATACACATGAAATAAAAATAATAAATAAAACATTTAAAAAATAATGAAGAACTGAATTTGAAGAATGAACACTTGGCTCAATTCCTAGCAATCAAATTTTAAAAGGGGGTATGCTTGTAATCCTACTGCTAGGAGGTAGAGACAGGAGGATCCCTCGGGCTTGCTGACTAGCCAGCCTAGACAAATTACTGAGCTCCAGGTTCAGTGAGAGGCTGTGTCTCAAAAAATAAGGTGGAGAGCAATTGAGGAAGAAACGCTGCTGACTTCTTGCCTACACACACACACACACACACACACACACACACACACACACACACAAGGATCGTTCTTCTATGATGGGCTCATCTGGTCATTATTCTTCTCAAACAAAGCATAAGAATTCATGGAAAATATTCTAAAAGTAAATTTCAGTTGCCATAAGCAGTGATCATTCAGACTTAATGGGTGAACTCACTAATGAACAACTGCCACCATGAGAAAGGGGACCATTGTCATCGACTCATCAGACTAACGAGATATGAAGTTCATTATCTTGTCTTCAATGGTAGTACACTTGCTGGCTTTCATGGTGCGCAGTACCCAACGCTTGCTCCAAGGCCCCAAAATCTCATGCCTCTTAGCACAGTGAGATCAGCTTCATATGCCTCAAGGGAAAGTCAGACCATCACAGTCCTCATACTAGGGCAGAGCCATCAGGGAACTTTGGGGCCCTTTATTATCTACTTGTAAGACATTATATGCCTGTAAACTAGTTAAGTTATGAGCTGTGTTAATAATTTGCTCACACTTGATCATGGTTTTTGCAAACACAGTTTTCAGGGAGGTAGGAGAATAATTTGTAGGTCTGGCTTCTTGGCTAAGGGGACACCAACTAATTTGACACAGTACCATTGCACTGATGGCAGGGCACACTAATGACCGTACTCTAAGACGTGGCTGTCAGCCTGTCGCTTCAGTGAGGAGACGGCTTGCTCTCAGTGTGGCTCAGGACATGATGCTCAACTCATTATTCAGACAGTGCCATTAATGAGAGCTTGTGTTTATTTCCAACATACTAACCAGCACTTAGCTTCCATTTGTCTGATATGGTCACTGATTAAAATGTGTTTCACTAATAGTAAATTTGAGCCCCATGGAAACAAAGAATTGCCAGAGAAAAATAAGGAAGAGCTGAGGGAAAACAAACCTGGTCAACTTGTTTTTTGCCTCAAATGTCACCAAGGACAAAGTGACATGTAGCAGGAAGTGCTATGGATACCAAGCAAAGAGAAAGGAATATTTTGGTCACAGGACTATGAAATAGCTTGTTTGGCCATGGCCCCTGGAACACTTCAATATAGTGAAGAAAAACTTCCATCTCATATAAACACAAACTTTAGTAATCTTTAAAAAAAAAAAGGTATCATGCAAAGTACTTTTTTAGAGACCATACAAAATAAGGGGGTTCACAATGACATTTCCACACATTGCACTTTGCTCATTTTCACCCCATTACTCTCCTTTGTCCCACCCCAGTGGTCTTTTCCCACGCCCCAAACAGCCTCTCTACTGCTTTCATGCTGTGTGTGTGTGTGTGTGTGTGTGTGTGTGTGTGTGTGTGTACACACCTAAATGCTACATATGAGAGAAAACATGTTGGTCTTTCGGAGCCTGGTTTATTTCACTTAACATGATGACCTCCAGCTCTGTTCATCTCCTTGCAATTGACATAATTTCATTCTCTTTGTTTTTCAATTTTATTTATTATTTTTATTTTATGTGTACGACTGTATTCCCTGCATGTATGTGAGTGCACCCATGTTGTGCAATGCTGCGGAGGTCCGAAGAGGGCTTTGGATTCCCCTGGAACTGGAGTTAAGGATGGCTGTTAGCCACCATGTGGGTGCTGGGAATCGAACCCAGGTCCTCTGCAAAAGCAGTCAGTGCTCTTAACCATCATTCTCTTTTTTTAAATTACATTTTTTGTGTGTATCTGGCACATGTGTGGAAGTCAGAGGCTAACTTATGGAAGTAGACCTTCTCTTCCTACCATGTGGGTTCCAGAGATTGAAATCAGGTCATGGGGCTGGGCACCTGGCTAGGTCATCTCACATTCTACCACACCCCCTCTTTCTTTTGTTCAGAAGAATAAAATTCGGTGGGTATCACACCACATTTTCTTTATCCATACTTCTGTTGATGTGCATCTAGGTAGGTCCCATGTGGAAGTTACTGTGAACAAAGCAGCAATAAGCATGGGTGTGCAAATATCTCTGTGGTATGTTTAGAATCGTCTGCCCATATACCCAGGAGTGGTCCAGTTGATTAAAGTCTATCAGGTCCATTTTCTCTGAATTTGATATTTTCTTCATGACAGCAACTTATAGATTGTGGGTGCAGATTTTAAGTTGATTCTCCATGACACAAAGGCTTGTTTCAATATGCTTTTTCAACCTTACAAAAGTTTGGTCTTTCATTATATTTGTCTCAAACACAATCACCAAGGACAGCAATAAATACGTTTGCACTTTTTCCCAAAATGATTACAAAACTGTACAGCTGAGGGGTTTTAAAGTATCCATTTGTACATGTTTCTAATCCTAACTAAATCTTGTAATCCATTTCCTTCTATCTTAATCAAGTTTCTATTCTCATATGATAGACTTTGTCTTTCATTTGATGATTTTTATGATTCTAAAATATTCATACAATACTCTAAAAAATGAACCTTTTTTTTTTGAGACAGGGTATCATTATGTAGTCCTAGTTGGGCTGAACTCACTATGCAGACCAAGCTGGCCTTAGACCCACAGAGATCCCCTGCCTCTGCCTCCTGAATTCTGGGATTAAAGGTGTGTACCAACACAGCCAATTAAAATGAATAACTGTTTTGAAAGGTAAGCCTCCACCTATTACAGGTATGAAAAATCCGAGACTACACACAGAATGTGCAATTCAAATTAAATAAGCATTTCAACAAACATTCTATCTAACACTTGGGATAAAGAATTCTACTGAATCTGTGTATGACATTGGATTTTTATAAAATAGCAAAATAAATCTGAGCCTGAACAGAGAACTTTAGGAATGAAAGCATTACTAAGCATATACTCTTGAACTCACTGCCATAAGATAGATCTATAATTTTAGAATGCTATGGTGCCTAAATGGTATATAACATATGAGAAGCAGATTTAGACTACAGGCTAATTTTTAAATATATTTCAAGAAGTATCCAGATCCAGTGTAGCAGCCTGACTGTTCCCAAGGGCTGCTCCCTCTGTGGGCACCTACT